ATAGAACTCTACAACAAATAATTTTTTTGAGAAAATCTCTCTATTACATTAAAACTAAAGACATATTCTATCAACTAGTAGAGCAATTTTTTTAAAAGGTAGGACAGAAAGTGATTTATATACTTTTAAAATTTGCCCAAAATTTAGGAGGTCTTTAGACTGAGCCAACTATAGCAAAATATGCGGATATTGTGGAGTCATCAAGTCAAATCTGGGTGGTTCAAAGATAATCCGCCATTAATAGATATGTAAACGGAGCTCGTAATACACTTTTGAAGTATATTACAGAAAAACAACAAGAGTCGTTCGCGACGTTGGGGCTTACACCCGGGACACCTTATTGTAGGTTGTCTACGTAGTACTTGTACTTAGTATTAGTATAGGTTCAATATAAGAGGTTAGTAGTATTTTTTTAAAGGAATTTAATTAATTGTGTGATAAAAATATGTGATATTAAAATTACTAAATATAAAAATTCCTTTACGAAAAAAATAAGTTTTTTAACAACAGCAACAAAAAAATGTCAACAGGCCCACATACCCCACATACTGACGAATTAATGAGTGATCCTATAAATAGCACTCTTTGTTCGATAACTGCAGCTGATGATATTATTTTGGATACTCAAGAGGAAAATTCTGCTAACGAGGAAGATCGTAGACATAATAAAACAGATGAAGATTCTTATAGACCTAGAAAAAGGTAATTTATAAATTTATAAGGTTTTCTTTAATAGTAAAATGTAAATTTTCTCACAATCATTTTCTTTTTAATTTATTAAGAAGAGGTTCCAGTAGATCGTATTCACCACATAGACGCTCAAGATCCCCTAGACGTTCTAGATCTCCTAGACCAGTCTCATTAAGACGTTCCCGATCTCCACGTACACCATCACCTTATCCATCATCAAATAGTTATCGCAATTTCACTCGTCGTCCATCATATAATAACAACAACAATACTATCAACAGCAATAACAGTAATAACAAAAACAACAACAATGATCATTATGAAATTGATAGACCAATTAAACGTGAAAGAGATTTTGATAGTAGGGAAGGAGGACATCATACAGCCTCGGTTATTCGAAATAGGGAAAGGGATAGACGTACAGGAAGTGTTATTGGTGGAACTAATAATAGATTATCTCCTCCTTACCCCAATCCACATTCTCGTGACAGATATAATGGTCGACCTTTTATTAAACAGGAGAAATCATACAGTCAGAGATTATCGGCAAAGGAAACAGCAGGTTTTATTTTCAAAACAAAACAAATATATAATTTAATCCTATAATTAATATAATAATATATTTTTTTAAAAAAAACCAGCATTGACCGCATCACAAAGATCACAAAAAGAATGTCGTGTTTATGTTGGTAATTTAGCTTATGAAATTAAATGGGCTCAATTAAAAGATTTTATGCGTCAAGGTATAAGATCCATCATATTTACATTTATATGTTTCTTTAACCAATATATTTTTCTAAATATTATAATAAAAAATTGAATCTTAGCTGGTGAAGTTGTTTTTGCTGATGTTTTAATGCAATCAAATGGAATGTCAAAAGGTTGTGGGTGAGAAATTTTGATTATTAAAAATTAATAACAATGTTTTTTTATGTATCGATCGATATATATAAATTTTTTTCAAATAATGTATAAAGTGTTGTAGAATATCGTACACCCGAGGATGCAAGACGAGCTATTGAAACATTGAATGATACACAACTGTTAGGAAGACCTGTATTTATTAGAGAGGTATGAATTTTATATTTGTGTGAATGTGTGTGTATGTATTTGACAAACAAATAAATTAATGATTATATAAATAAAATATAATTATTGCATAGGATCGTGAATCAGAAGCTAAATTTGGTACAGGATTAAATATTAGAAATAATGATAATAGAATAGCATCATATTCACACCATCATTATCAACAGCCTAATCACCATAATAATCATTATCATCATCATAACAATAACAACAACAATCATCATCATCATCATCATTACAATAATAATACTATTAATCATCGTCATAATGCTAGTAATAGCAATAGTAGTGGTAATAATTATCATAATCATCATCATAACCATGGTAGTAGTGTTGCTGGCAGACAAATTTTTGTTGGAAATGTTGGTTAATTTTTTAATTAAAATTTTTTGAAAAATTTTTTTTAAAAAAGTATATAATTAAATTTATATATATAATAGCTTCCTTATTCGGTTGGTTGGCAGGAACTTAAGGATCTTTTTAGAAATGCTGGTACGAATCTATTAATTAGTTATAGTTAATTTTACATATATACTCTATAAATGAATTTTAATGTCTTTTTTTAAAAAAAATAAATATAGGAAATATTATTAGAGCAGATATTCTTGTAGGACAAGACCGAAGATCGAAGGGGTCTGGGACAGTATTATTTGAGACACCGGAAGATGCTGCAAATGCGATTTGTATGTGTTTATTGAAATTAATAATATAATATAATATAAATTGATTTGATTGATTTATGGTTTGAGGTGAAATGGGTCGAGGGAGGTTAGGGATCGGAGAAGAAGGAAAGGGCGTTGGCTGAATGAATATTTTATAAATATATATTTTTTTATTTTAGTTGTGTACGATGGGTACGATATGAATGGTAGAAATATTGAAGTCCGTGAGGTGGGGTGTTGTTTGGTTGTTTTTTTATAAAAAAGGGGTTTTTTGCTCGCTATAATGTATTGTTATTATTATTATTATTATTTATGATTATTATTTTTAATGAGATTGAAAAAAATTTTTTGGTGTGAGCTGTGGCAAGTTATTGAGATGGCAGGTTTTCTTTTTCTTTCCAAATTTACATATATACATATACATATACATATACATATACATACACATATACATACGTATATAAACGTAGGATCGTTTTGCTGGAGGACCACCACCGCCAAGATTTTCCACTCGACCAGCACAACCATTACCACCACCATCACATCACCACCACCACCATCATAGTCCATTTGGAAAGGGAGGAGTTGGAATAGGTATAGGAGGAGGGGGGATGGGAGCAGGAACAGGTGGAAGTGGAGGTGGAGGTGGAAATGGAGGAACAGGTGGCGGAGGAAATTTCAATAATAATAATAATAATAATAATAATCATCATCATCATCACCCCCGTCCCCATAATCCTCATCATCATGGTACTGGTGGGTTTTTTGGAACAAATTTAGCAGCAACAACAACTTCATCATTAGCAGCAACGCCAGCATCAACAACGGCAGGTGGAGGTGGAAATTCAACTACGGTCGGTGGAGGAATTGGAGGATTTAATCCAATTGGAGGAGGTGGTGGGTTTAATCCATTGGGTGGTGGTGGAGGTGGAGGAGGGGGAGAGGGACATGGTAACCCAGAGACAACAACATTTGATACATATGGACAAGTAGTAGCATATGGAGGAGATTTTTCAGGTACTACTGGTGCAGGTGGTATGATAGATTATAGAGTAGGAAGGAGAGGGGGAGGGGAATTTTCCACGGCAGGTTATCCAGCAGCAGCATATACTGGAACATTTGGCGGTTCTGCAGGGTTTTATCCTACTCCTGGGTTAAATACTTCAACAACAATTGGTACTCAAATATTTGTAAGAAATGTAAGTGATGATGATGATATTTGAAATCAAAAAGGATAAAAAAAAAAATTATAACAATAAATAAATAAACAAATAATATTATCATTATTAGTTGCCGTTCAATACTACAAATTTAGATTTGAGAGAGTTGTTTAAACATTGTGGTAAGAATAATTAATAATTTTTTTATCTTAAAGATGAAAAAGATATCCTTTTCTCATTATTATATATATAGGTAATGTCGTTAGAGCAGAAATTTTACCTAAAGGAGCAGGACTTGTACAATTTGATTCGAATGAATCGGCTCGTTTTGCAGTTGGTGAGTTGGTTGTTATTTTATTATGTTAATTATATGTTAATGTTATGTAAATTTTTAGTTTGGAGTTGCTTTTTTTATTAAATATATATATTATCTTGTTATTTAGAAAAATTTAGCGGTTATATGTATGGAGGACGTGGAATAGAAGTGAACTTTGATCGATTTACATGATAAATAATAAAATATTTTAACGATAATGATGATTTATTTAAATTATATTTTTAATAATAAATGATTTTATTGATAAAATGAATGAATGGAATTCCTTCTACAATTCAAAATTAATTTAAAATTAGTTTTGTTCAGATTAGGCTTGTGTGCTTTTTAAACGTAACAAGAATAATTAATAGGCAAAGCACACTTTATCATATTATCCCAAGTTTAAACAAGGAATTTTTTGATTCATTAAAAGCCATTCATCATTACTTTATTGAATAGGAAGGATCCATTAAAAAGAAAAAATTTTTTTTATTTTTAATCAGTTATATATATTTTTAAATTACGGTTTTTAATTGGATGATGGTACGATCTCGTGTTACATTTACAATTCATTCTTAAAAAATTTGCAGAATTTCATCTTTCATTCTCTCACGCGAATAACACGCAACTTGGGTTTGAATTGAAATAATAATAATTGGTCGATTAATTGAGTAGGTTTTCCATACAACAATATTACACGAGTAGAATGCATTGTATAATAATGATGCACATAAATTAGGAATTATTAATATGTGTATGCTCGCTCATCCATTACTACGATAGAAGAATTAGGAAAAGAGGGTCTTTTTTTTCACATGGAAATAAAACAAAACCGTGGGGAAATAAATATTTCTAATTGGTCCAACATAGATGTTATCAATATATTACAAGCATGTGAAGAACAGTGTTGAAATTTTAGTGCGGGGATGCGGAAGTGTCACGTTACACGTTAGTATTTTCCTCCAGATAGTTTCTAAATTTGTAATAGTTACACAACGCTGGTAATTTCATAATAATTAATAAAATTTAAAAAAAAAAATTGAAAACTTTGTAATTAATCCATCAATTTCGTAATCCAGGACAGTTCAGAATGATAAAATCGGATAACAAGTTCTCAAGTTTGATCAAATGTTATCTTTTTTTGCACATGCAAAATAAACTCATGACCACGTGCCTGTTAACATATTATCATGACTAAATGCTAGCTATTATATTAATATTAATTAGTAAGTATTTTAACAAATTTGGAGCTATTATTGTGGCTATAAAATAAACAAATAACTATTGTTTTCCCTCCTCTCTCTCTTAACACACAATAATAACAAATAAAATATTTATCAATAACATTTGATAAAGTTGACATTTTGGTAACACATACCCTGAAATTCAGCATTCTTTGAGAAGCTGTTTTGATCCAAATTAATGGTTAATTTATTGATTATTTGATATGTTTGATTTGATTCATTAATTACCTTCTCTTTCTTACACTAGAACTTTCAACAATCACCTTATATCTCGTGATATTTGACAATTCAGTTAATTAATGCACAATGATTTAATGGCTTAAGATGTGTAATATATATTATTAATATATATTTTTTATTTATTTATTTATTTAAGAAATATTAATTAAACCTTTACTTTCTTCTATATCACCAAATAAAAATTCTTTGCGTGTTTTGCAAAGATCAAATTTCCCCCCGAATAAAAAAATATTTTTTATTTTATTTTTTCACACATATTCACATTATTTTCATGAGATTTTTTTTTTTATGTAAATCGTATTTTTGATTTCTGAGTGAATCGTGATTATTTCCCCTCATTTTTTATGTACGCCTTTACAAATAAATAGAATTTTAATTAACTCCACTTTTTTAACATATCACATGTAATAAAATATATTAATTAATTAATACTTTGTTTTAAATTAAAAAAAAAATCGATATAAAGGACTTGGAAATACAACTCTTTCTTCAAAAAAAAAAAAAATTCCCTTTCATAAAAAAAAATATTATTAAAAAAAATTATATTTTCTTTTAAAAAAAATAAACTACAAAACTACAAAACTATTATTATCAACTTCTACACTAATAAAATAAAATCTACAAAACAAAAATGACTTGTTCAAAAAAAGTTGTTGTTACCGAAATTTCCCCTGCTGCCACAGAGAAAACTGGTAAGCATAATAAAAATTACAATTAAATCTATTTACGCGCATTTATTATAATAAATATGCACGTTACATTTATTAATTCAATGCGATACCATTATAGTTAAGGATTTCTTTTTATTTTGTGGTAAAATGAAAGAATTCGAGTTGGTAAAGTGAGTAGTTGGCAATCTTGTATATATATATATATAATAATAATATCTTTGATTGATTAATTAATTAATAAAAAATGTTTATTGTTTTACAATAATTAGAGATGAAAAAAGCGATAAACAAATTGCTTATGTGACATTCGAAAGAGATGCTGCCGTAAAAACTGCTCTTATGTTAACAAATGCTGTAATTGGTGATTCTCCAATCACAGTCAGACCCGCCGATGGATCGTTGAATCCTGATGATGGAAATAATGACCAACTTAGTTGTATAGAACAAGAGGAAAAGGTTAGTTAATAGTAGCGGTAGATTTAGTAAATTGCTTCCTCTCGTCAGGGAAGTAAATATTTTTATTTATAGACACGTTCAACTAATTTATTATTTGTATATTTATATAACTTTTTATTATAGCCAAAAAAAGTAATTTTTGCAGAAATTTTAGCTGCAGGATTTCAGTTACAAGATTCTATCATTCAAAAAGGCCTCGAATTTGATAGTAAGTTTTTAAACGAATACATTTTTTAAAAGAATTTATAATTATTTGATTTCGAATTATTTTAATTCATTATATTATTATTATTTTAGCAAGATGTGGTATAAGTGGACGTCTCATGTATTATTTGCATCAACTCCAAGACAATCGTGAGTTTTTTTTTTAATTTCCTCTCGTGTTCAAAAAAAAAAAATTTTTTTTAAAAAATATTCTTTTTTGTCTTCTTTTAGTCAAAGCATTAGACGACCAATACAAAGTATATGATAAAGTGAGTGCGACAGCCGTCCAGCTCGACACCAAATTTGCCGTTCAAGATAAAATCAAATATGTCACTACTCAAGCACAAGACAAAGTAAATCAAGCGATCGAAACACCTGCCGGTAAAATCATGCTTGAATATTATCTTTCAACCACAAAACAAGTTGCCGATGTTCATGCTGAAGCAAGAAGAATTGCTGATGAAAAACAAGTCAAACTCATCACCTCACACGAAGAAGAATCCACCAATGGATCATTATAAATCATTGTCATATCAATTCATTATTCATCAATTACATGCATCTATCTATCTAACGAAACGTTTTTTCGTTTTTGTTGTTTGGGTTAAAATTTTAATTTTTTTTATTTTTTCACAAACAAACAAATAAATTAAAAGCAAAATTTTTATTATTATATTAATATTAATACATACATAATAAACATAATAGCATTAAAATAATAAATTTTTTCCTTTTTCTCTATATATGAACTTTTTATTATATTATTATATATAATATATAACTAAAAAAAAAAAATAAAAAATAAAAATAAAAATAAAAAACATAAAAATTGTCAATTAGAATTAAAAGTGTTAAAACAGGAGCAGAGACGTTTCCCAAAATGTCACTCGATATTTCAAATGTTAATTGTTATTATTTATGTAATTTAAGTTTTAAGTTTTGAGTATTTTCATACTTTTTTACAACGCCTTTATTTTTTTTTTTGTGAAAACCTTAAAATCCATCAATTACAACACAAAATCCAAATATTAAAATTAATAATTAATAATTAATTAATAATTTACAAAATTATAATAATAAATTAAAAAAATTTTTTTTGATAATATTAATATATAATGTATAAAATGTATAAATGAAAATGTATATAGCATGCATATATAAACTATGAATTTAAATAAAAAAACCTCTAAATAATTACAAAGTCGTTAAAATCAAGTGAAGTTCTAGAAATGCCATCTGATGTTGATGGTGGCGATGACGTTAATAAATCTTCGGATGTAAAATGTTTATTGTTTTCAGAATTATTATAATTATAATTATAATTATAATAATTATTGTTATTATTATTGGAAGTAGTTGGAATAGTCGTTGCTCTACTACTATTTATTGTAGTAGAATTATGCGATAACGGTAGAATATTTTTATGAAATCTGTGAAATTTATTTGTGCCACTATCATTACTACCGCTATCACTAATATTTATTACAGCGCTTCTACCACTATTGACTATCATATTATTTTTATCAATAGCTTCATTACTACTACTAGTACTACTACCACTGCTGCTGCTGCTACTACTACTACTGCTGCTGCTGCTAGTGTTACAATGAGTAAATGAATCTTCTGTTTGCGCTTCATGTAAAAGATTTTTTAAAGTTTGTGCGAGTTCTATTTTGTCGTTCTCATGTGGACATGTTAAATTAACCCATGTGCTCTCATATCTTTCTACATTATTTTTCTCCCCTTTATCAACTCCACCATCACCACCATCACCATCACCACCACCACCATCATCAACTTCTCCATTATCATCATCATCGTCATCGTCGTCATAATGATCCAACGTTAATGATTCAATTTTTTTTCTTAATGCTTTTAAGGGAACTTTGTCCGAGCTTGATAATCCTTTTAAATCAATATAATCTGATTGACCTAAAAGTAAGGATTTTGAAATGTCTGTTGCATCATTATGTACAGATCTGACACCATCCTGTAATACCGAATTAAGAAGCATATCTTCAACATATATTTTATTATCATCTTCATCTTCGCCACCGTATTCCTCTTTATTTTCGATTTTTTCTAGTGCAATTTTCGTATTGTCATTATTGTCATTATCGTCATTATCATTACCATCATTAAGTTTACTATTGTTCAATACCAATTTTTTACACATTGTCAATAATAATTTCTCGGGCATTTTAATTCCTGGAGTAAACATAATCTCAGATCCAGGTGGTACTGATAATAACGCTATTGAATTATCATCTTTTGGAAAATAATAATCAGACCATAGTGTTATTACCCTGGCGCCAGTTTCAGGACGTAAAACTTCTTTTTTCCATGCATGGTCAAATTTAAAGCAGCTATTGTTATTAGATCTAGATGACAATGATGTTGATGATAACGATGATGAGATTTTCAGATATTGATCGTTTTTAAACCATTGTCGATGTTCGTGCACCCATGACCATATGCTTCTAGTTCTTTCACGCAACCTAATTATTTCTCTTTCAAATTCAGAATTACATAGAAAATCACCGTAAGGCGAATTTCCAGCCGATGCACGAGCTAGACACAACAACAAAAAATCATTAAACTCAAACAATGTAGGAAATTGTTCTAAAAGATGATGAACACATGTTAGAAATAAAAGAAACACAGGTGATGAAACAGGAGTTGTTGAATTAGTGTCCGATGATGGTGTTGACAACTGTGTTGATGAATATGCTGATGATGATGAATATGAACTTCTGTTATTGTTATCGTTGCCTTTTTTCCTGCTATAGTCACTGCAAGATAATTTAGTCGGGAGTTCACCACGTGCTCTAAATTGATGACCAAAAGCCATCCATTCCTTTTCGATCAACACCCTAAACCCTTTCAAAGTACGATAATATGGATCTAACATTATTTGTGCAAGTGAAACAAGTTGTGGTGTTCTATCCCAACCATCAGTACAATGCACTAGCACACTAGAATCATCATCAACTATCTTGGATACCACTCCATTTTTTCCTCCAGCTGCTTTAAGCAAACCAGCTACACAATTCAACCATCCTGTAGACTCTAATACTGAAAACCAATTAGGCGATGAGGCATTTGTTGCTATTTCACGTAATAGTTTTGAATGTGCATTTGAAATAACATGAATATTTGGAAGATTCAGCCATTCCAGTGTAGTATTTTGTGGATAAAATCCTATTTAAAAAAAATAAAATGAACAAAGATAAACAATTAATTATTTTTTTTAAAAAATTAAAAAATAAAAAAAAAAAAGTTATTTTACCTATATTTTCATAGCCACCACCTTTATAAATATTTGAAAAAGCAGAAGTGAAATTTCTTGCATCCAAAATGCACATTTTCATTTGACATTTTTCATCAAAATTTATAGAATTTCTAGTAAGTTTGCCATCTGAAATACTTCCTATTTCAAAACCTAAATACTTTTGTTTTGCTTTAGCCATTTCTTGTTCCTCCTCACTGACTGCACCTAAAACTTCTTGAATTAAAATTTCATCTTCCAAACCACGCGAAGAAAAAAACCCTACCATTGGTTGAGCACTACGCATCAAAACATGATGACCTTTTTTCCAACAAACAACAGGAAATCTACTACGAAAATTTGCCAATTTATGGAAAAAACTATTGATTCCTTGCTTTTTTTTCTTCAATTGATGATTTTTTAAAATTCTGGAAGGTAAAATAAAATCTTGCGGATATGTTTTTGATAAAGAGTAATTCGAATTAACGCGTGAAATAATCCTTAATAATCATAATAATAAAATTTCACATTTATCATTAGAAATTAATTAATTATTTTTTTTTTTTTTTTTTTTAGTAATAACAAGTAGTGTGTTATAAATTTACCATGATTCGTTATCCATCTTCAAACGTTTAAACTCCTTCTCTATTTGGTAACCTGACGTCCATCCTAATTTTTTATAACATTGAAATGTTTCTTCATTTATTCCTTTATGAATAACTTGGTTTTCAAATTCCATTTCATCATTATCATCATCATCATCATCATCATCATCATAACCATAACCATTATCACTACTATCATTATCATTATCACCATCACCATTTGATTTTGAAAATAATGCTGAAAGTAATTTTTCCTCTAATTTATCTACAGTGATTGATTTTCCATGATTTTTCCTTCTTTTACTACTTTTCTTTTTGCTATTTTTATGAATAATGTTTTTTTTTCCAGTACTATTACTATCATCATCATCATTGCTTTGAGAGATGTAACTTTCTCCCATATGAAATGCAAAAACATTTTCCAGTACATCAGGATTAACAAAGTCTTTTAATATAAAGGCAAATTTCATACATAATGAATTATTATTGTAATTGTTATTAGATTGGATAGTGGTAATATTTCCGTTATTTTCAAAGGAGAAATTTGACCTTTTTGATTTCGAGAATGTAAATAAATACTTTGATGGAAAGAACTTTAGAGATATTGTGATTTGTGATTGTGATTCTTCTAATGAAGAGACAGAAAGGTGAGGAATTTGTGTTGTGAGTGATATTATTGAAGTTAACCTGGTTGTTAAAGATGTCGTGGCCAGGTGATCAGAGTAATTTCTTATAGGATGATAACATGTTCTGTAATTTGTTATTAGAACAATAGACTTTATTGTCATATGAAAAAATATGCAAATATATGAATAAAATATATAAATAAATTATCGCCATGTATAATATAATATAATATAATATAATGCGACAGTTTACTTCATTTGCAGTGTCCCTTTGGCCATAAAATTCATCAGTGTCGTAACCACATTCAACAAAGCCTCCATCTGAAGTCTCTTTAGATAATTTGATTGCGCTTGTTCTATCTATAAATTCTATTGTTTCGCCAGGTAAAAGAGTAATACCTGGCGGTAATAATGATTTTACGTTTTCAAGCTCAAGGGGCATTCTTGAAAGAAGGAAGGGAGGAGTAAAATATTATGTTATATGTCTATTTAAATATTTGCAATATAAGCTTTTATTGAGACAATAGTAATAGTGCGAAAAAATTTTTTTTAAGATTTAATGATGATGAAAAAAAAATTACAAGTGTTTAAATTATATAAATAAGCTGTGGTACGAAAATGAGAAGCGCCACAATCGTACCACTGATATAATGTGCTAATACTAAAGAAAGAAAAAACCGATTTCTTTACTTCCGAACGTCTTTTGTCCCTATTTTTGGTAATTTGGTTTCTTTTATAACTAATCAACCTAGGATTAGTAAATCTCTAATAGATAAACCAATATTCAAATAAAAGGTATTCATTTTCTCCATTTATATTTATTTCCTCAAACTTACCACTTCTTGGAGGAAGTATTTCTCACTCTTAATAATAAATGGAAGCAACAATTCCTAAATTATTGAATTCGCTCTTTGTTTCTGAATAATGTTGGTTATTGAAAAACCAGCGTTTTACTTTTCCAGTTATTCTAATTTTCTATTTTTTTTTTTCCTTAAATCACTTTCTGTTTGAGAAGAAGTGGGAACGCTTTATGCCTTCGCCACAATCACTTACTCCATCTGAGGCTTGCTATTTAGTAATAGCCCTATTCTCTAAACCAAATTTCTTTCAATAATTTACTCCCTCTCTCTGCTTAGGATAATCTTTTTGCTTATGATTATAACCATTCTTTAGATTTTGTATTTCTTAACTTTTTCGGTTTAGTTGCTGATGTCGTTAATTATTGTCTCTTTTAATTTCCTTCTCATTGAGTATTGTCCCAACGATTCCCTTTAAGTTTACTTTAAATTTGCAGTCTCATTCTTTAAAATAATTTATTTTCAGTTCTTATTGTTCATCGAACGATTTTCTGCTGTGCCGCAACAATATATTATTATGCGCCTCGGGAAAAAACATAGCCACAATTCAGTAAAAATCCTATTGTCATGTTGATTACGTGTTAGTATACTCCACATATCCTTATCAATATAAAAAACTTTTTTAAAAAACATAAATAAATTAGTTATAGTCATATCATGAGGTAATCTTAATCTTATCAGACCTTTATAAATTAGTCGCGTTTTTGAATAATAAATTATAAACAATAATTATTCCGAGAAAATATCTGTAATGAGACAAACCGCAAGAATGGTGGCAAAAATCATTGACAATGAAAATATAAGGAGCAGTTATCCAAGCCATTTTGAAATTGATGGAAAAGATAGTTCCTAGAAAACAATTTCCACTTTAGAATGCCTTCACGCCCACAACCATAAACGCAAGCCTAAAGCGTAACCGTTTCTATAGATGAAAATATTTTTTGCGGATGCGTCGCATTGAGCAGAGCAAATCCTGCAAATCTTGAATTTTGATTTTTCCGAATTGGAATACAATAGGCTTGGAATAACAAAATGGACCTATATATAATAAAAATATTTTTTATCTTTATATTTTTTATCAATTTCTTGATTTATCTATATATGTGCTCATTTCTTTGTTAAAATATATTTTTTTAAAAAGGGTTAGAATTAATTTAGAATGATTTCATTACTTTTGTCATTTTTGTCGTACATGCTCAGGGTTTGATTTATTAATATTTTAAATATTTTTTATAATAATGATATAAATGGTTAAACGCTGTTTATCTTCACATGACAAATTTTTCACTTAAATCAAGAAACACTTCAAGTTTCTGGAAGACGATGATCTTACGATTAAAAGACCTGAAGTATACATTGGACTGGAAAACATAGAAGACAAACTTGGTTACTTCACAAACGGATGCAAAATGCATTGCCAACTTTACCAAGAGACACGAATTATTTTCACAATTAATAGTAATGCAAAAATCATCAAGTATTAAAGATATTCTCGGTAAAATTTTGTGGGTTTCGTATTATTATCTTTGAGATTGAGTTGAACCACAAACTCTAGGGTCGTAATTGAGTTAAAACCACTATTAAAATGTTCAACCCTAGCCCTAGGGTTTTTCCATCAATATTTTAATCTTAACCTTTTACTTTTATTAATAATCTGAACTTATTCATCAATGAAATTTTTATTTTCATTTGTTAAAATCAACTTTTAAGAGTATAGAGTTAAATTATTCAATGAACTATCATTACTTTTTAAGCTTTTTGATTTAGCAATTTCATCATTTAATGATTTGTGTACCTGTTGTGAATCGTTACTACTGCTATCTATCATTAATAAAATCAATTTCATGCCTTTTTAATTTGAATTTCATCAATTTGATGATTATGAACTTTATCATCAAATGGTGGATTGCATGCAAATACTTCACACATTACCATCCCAAAACTATAAATGTCTGCTTTTTTTGCATTCTTTGTATTCTTTTTTCCTCCAAATAGCTCAGGTGCATATATTTTACCTGATTAACTGGTTCACATAATTCCAATGTTATCATTATGTAGATCACAATAAACCTTTTTATGTTTCACATTAAAGTTTTAAAAATTGTAATGCTGTCTTTTAGTGTTACCTTTATTGCATTAATTTTCCGTTATCTGGGAATTTTAGTTAATCAATAGCAAAAAAAAATAGGTTGATTAATTTTACAATAATTTATTGTTTATAAATTAAAATATAAAATCAATTAACATTATATAATGAATTATTTATTTTGTTTTAAATAAAACTTTCAACCCATCAAAAAAGCCTTTTTTGGATTACTTGAATTATTTAAACTTTTTAATATTATATCTTGAGCACCAAGATACTAACTTTTTCATTCTAATCAATTATTCTTCATCTTGTCCATGTAACAGTGTATAAATCCACCTTCAGTTAGCTTTGTTACATCTTCTTCAAATTGCTCAAAAGGTATCCATTCTAAAATATAGTCTGGCAAATATGTTTTCATTTGACATTGTTGTTATTTCGTTGTCGACAATCACACGCTTCGTTTACAGTTTATATGATTTTAGCGTAACATACGCATTGATTATAGAAATCATGATTTCGGAAGCATCAGGAAATTTAGATAAAAAGAAAATTTGGATATTAATTAGTTTGCAGGCATATTAATGACTGAATTTCATGCATCTTGAAAAGAATCATCATCAGAAAAATAAAATATTTCCCGAGTTTTGATTCAAACGAAACCTCAATACTATTCATTAGCATATATTGTTAATTTGTCTGATTCACACTATTAAAAACAATAATTGTAATCAATCATTATAATCACCAAAATAATCAGTGACAATATCATCACCATCACCATCATCACATGTAAACTAACTGTCAGTGAGGTGTTTGTCGATGAACGCGACCGGTTATTTCCAGATGTCCAAGTATTGAAAAGACTCTGTAATTGTAATCTAATATAACCTTCACAGAATCTATCAGGGTATCTTTTCAATTTACATTTGTTACATTCTTTTTTATTTATTGCAAATTCAAAAATTATAAATAAATTTTTTTTACATTTTCAGAAATTTCCTTTTCGAAAAAATAATCTTTTCTACTATCTCTATCAGAATTAGCCAAAGTATTAGTATAAAATCAATTCAATATAAAATTTAAATATGAAACCAATTTTTCCTTGTGATGATTAAGAAGTGACATTATATTGACTTTTTAGATCAATTGGACCATAATTATTTTTGATAGAACTAGTCGCTCAAATTTTTTTGAGTAATTTTTCGATTTTTTATTTGTAGGGTCATCATCATCTAAGTCAATTGCAGAACTATCTTTGTCTTTAAATGATATTAATATACAGCACCGCTAACGTGATGAATCACATTTCAAATTTTATAAATAAATCTTTTAACACGACAAACAAAGTAATATCTTCATTTAAAAAATTTTCTAAAAAGTGTTAATTATTACAAGTAAAGAATTATTGAGATGATTGTTGTTTATTCGTCTAATACTATAATCAACAGCCATATCAGATTCTTTATTATTTCATCACAATGAGAATTTTGCTGCTGGAAGAAATGAAAGTCCTGATTTTCTGCCAATTTGCTGAAAAGCCTTCAAGATTATCTATCGTTAAATCTAATTTCAATTTTAATTTCATTCCAATTTTTGTCTTCGAGAGACTTCTCTATTCCTCTTTCGATTCACAAAGGACCTTGAACATTAGCAAAGCACCCATTCGATTATTTTTCATATTCGGGGGAATTAATATCCACAGTTCGTTTTCCGTTTTCACATCTCCCATAATTTTTTTGTGTTCGCCTTCCAGTATCTGATTAATTCCAAATATGCAAATACTTAACCTTTATGGGCAATTTTCAACGTTGATTCTCATGTTGCTAACCCACCGTTAAAGCTTTTTTTCGCAAAGTAAAGGTCGTTTATCTCCCATCATCGTCCTAAACCCAAGCAATGCGACCGAGAACGATTCTTCAGTAAAATTCATAATTATCCTTTTTTTCCTAACAATGATATAGGGAATTAATTCTGGGATAAATAAAAACATAACACTCGAGGTTTTCATATTGTTTGGAGATTATATTACATATTGGAAATTTATCCAGAAATTTGATTAATAATTTTTTAATAAAAAGAGTCGGGGAGCACTTTATATAAATTTTTTTCATTTTTCATGTCTTTCTTCCCCAATACATACATCCATCGTAATACGCTTTGACATTTCATAAAATCTGTTTTTCGTTCCTTTGTTTTCTTATAATGCTTTAAATGAATATCCTGTTCGTTTATCCACCAAAAAATCGAAAGTCTTTTTATTAATCATCATTTTCTTTTGATCAATGTTACTTCAGAAGATTATGTGCTAAAAATGCAGGGAGAGATATGATAAAGGCCAAAAATTTGATTTTTGCAAAACAATTTCGTGAAAAGTGATATCGACTACAGTCAAACCTTGTCACAGCAGATGCATGGAACCAATCAAAAATCATCCACAATTACAGGGATTCGTTGTGGTAACCAAGAATCTTTAGCAAAACTTTTTTTCTAAAATTTATTTTGCGCAATAAAAATGTTTGCCAATTTTATACTCCAGATAGAAGACAAGCATGGTCACTGTAATAACGTAAATACCAAATTGGAAAGAAGAAATTTTTCTTTGCCTATTTCTGTGTGAGACAAAGAAGGATGAAGAAGATCCATTCATACTTGGAATAGCGTAATAATATATTATTCAAAGCAGATGCATTTTGAACTCTTAATTTGACCAATTAATTCAACAAATCAAGATAATTATGTAAATCTTTAAAAGCTTTAATACCTGACCTGATTTCCAGATTTCCAAAGTGTTGATTGTAATGTATGCCAATCAAAATCTGTTACATTTTTTTGGTTTACTACATGCAGCTAAGTTGTTTATTTTGAATTTTTCTCTGTCTAATAAACCCTTATTCTCCTGTATGATGGTACTAATTTTACATATAGTTTTTGTTTTTTTTTAAATATAGTGTTGACTAACTTGTGGTTTTTTTATTTCTATGTCTTCTTGTGCCTGTTAGGAGAAGGAGGTAATATAAAAACCTCAATGTTAATTATTAACACTTCAATACTTTCTCACCCGTTGAAAAAAAGGCATTTATTCTGATTTTAAAAGATAATTATTTTAAACTCAAAGTCAACTTGATAAAAAAATATTCTTTACGAGTTGATTATTCAAATTAAAACCGACAAAATTTTTTGGAGTAATAAATGTTAAAAAACTAAAATTAACTTTGCAGCTTTTAATATTGAAAGCAATTTTCAATATTTAAAGGTTTTTTTTACACTATGAATTAGTAAACCATAAATCAAAAACAGCGTTAATCATCTAAAGACATCACGTGCTGCTTCACTCGCCGAAAAATTTTGTGCCGATCTTGCTTCAAAGAAAATCTATTCAAATAATCTAATGATTATCAACTTTGAAATTTTGCTTAAAAAAAAATATTAATTATGATTTAGAGCCTGAAAGTATAAAAATTACATTAGAAGAACAAAGTCTGTGGAAAGATGGTTGTTAAAACATGTAAAAATAATCCGCAAGGTTTTGAAGTTGTCGATTGTTGTACAGATCGAAATTTATAATTAGAACAGGACCCCCGCAAACTTCATAGATAGGTCAGTAACAAAAATTACTGTTTGTTATATGATTTTACCCAGACCAGAATTAAGTTTAATATATAACTTGACCCTATTAAACCTAAACCCAATCTTTTTTGATGTATATAATAATTTGATCCACAGATTGACCCTATTAATGATTGTTACATTTGTAAAATTTTTAAATAATTCGACTCTATTATAATTACTGACAAAAAATTTAATTTATATATGAATTTGACCCAGCTGCGCAGTAACCTATATATGAAGTTTGCGGGTCCTGGTTTCTTGTCACAAAAATCACAATTAGGAGACATTTTATCTCAAATATCATTGTGAATTGAACTATATCAAAAGTTTTGGAGTGCTGTTAAAATTATTCCAGAAAGAACTGTAATTATTCATTTAAAGAATTATAGGCAACAATCCCATTTACATTAAATTCAGTATCACTTTGTAAAATTAGAAGTTTGCAAAGAGATGTGGGTGATTACAGATTAGAACTTCAGGAAGGGTGGCTTTATTTGCTGTAAAAAAATATAAATTTCATAGGAGAGTGTGTTTAGTGAATATGAAAATTTAAATTCAAATTTGTAAAAGATTGCGATTTTGTCACGTGAATAATCGATATAGATGATTGCCGAAATTTCAAATAACATAGTAAAGTTACCCAATTTTAAACCATCATAACTTTTGTTTTTCATGTCTAGACGATTGCAATGTAGAAAATTTTTGTGATGTTTAGTAAAGTATCTTTAGATGATCGCCACTATTTACCACATTGTCATGAACTTTTTCACATTGTGATCCTTTTATATGTCCAGGCCATTTTGAGATCCCATTGTAATTGTAAAAATTGTAATTGATTGATTGGGGTTTTTTCTGTTTAGGATATGATTTACACAAATGCCCTTTTTCGGTTAGGGTTTCCTTTTTTATATATTTAAATTTTATTATTTATTAATCCCATATTAATTAATATTATAATTTATTTAAAAGAAAAAAAATGAGCGCTTTTCGTAATTTCAGAAATTCTAGGAGGTACATCAATCTAAGTGACGACACAGGTTATACAGACGAACAGTTTCACAGACCTCTATATCCAGGTGAATATTATATTACAAATAGAAGCGAAAGAATTATAAACATTTGAGGGATTAAGATGATTTTTTATTTTTATTTTAAAAAGCTCCGTGGAAATCAATTGCTTTAGCAGCTGGTTTATTTGTAGTTGGATCTTTAGGGATTATTTTTGGAGCTCTTATTATGGCTGGTATTATTTCTGATGAGGTATAACAGCAACGATAATAATAATTATTATTGTAATATATATAAAAATAAAAATAAAATTTAAAAATAAAATTTGTTAGGCTTGGGATGATAGAGGAAAACCTTTTCTTTTCCTTGGATCTTTATTATTTATACCAGGTAAAGTTTATCTTCCTTTCTCTCTTTTAAAATTATTATTTGAATAATTATAATAATAACAATAATAATATTCTGATATATATATTCTTTTGAAAGGTTTTTATCATGTTAGGCTTGCTTACTATGCTTATAAAGGATATGATGGATATGATTTTAATCAGATTCCTGATTGGTAAAACTAACAAGAAAAAAAAATGATCATATTATCATCATCATCATCATTATCATCATCATCATATAATAGTAATATATGTATTTGTATTTTAAAATATTAAATTTTCTATATAATTTATTTACTATGTATATATTATACAAATACAAATGCAAAAATACTACTCATTTAAATCATGATTCCTCCTCCACTGCTTCCGAATAATACTAGAGTGCTAACTATTAAAACAATTCTTAATACAGTTCTACCATGACTACTTTTTAATTGATTTTCCAAAGATTGATTTTTTTCTTTACTAGATTCTGAATTTGCTCTTCTCAATTCCTCACTATAATGTCTTTGATAATGTTCTTGAAAATTAAATTTATTTTTAAAATCTTTTGATGACGATGATGATGTATTACTATTATTAGTTTTATGAGTATCATCAGTACGTGAAGTTCTTCTAAAATTAGATTCATGAAAATTATGATGTGTATGTTTTCTAACATTCGGTCTATTTGAATAAGAAAATTGTGAATGATTCCATGATCGTGAGAATGATTTATTATTATTGTTTTTAAATAGTATAGATCTATCATATTCTTTTCTACTTTTATCATTAATCAATATTGAATATGCCTCATTTATTAATAAAAATTTCTTATGTGCTGTATTATCTTTTAAATTCAAATCGGGATGATATTTTTTCGATAGCTTATAAAACTGTGACTTGACTAATTTTTTATCGGCATCTAAGGGTATTTCCAAAATGTCATAAAGACGACGTGAAGCAGGTAATGTTTGAAATATGAACCGTCTTTGTTGTTGATGAAGGATTGTGAATCTGTTAATATTCATCAAAGGTAATAACAGCATTATGAATTTTTTTTGTTGGGAAATATGTTTTTTCGCCAGTTATATATGTAAATATTGTTTGAACAAAAAAAGTTTTTTGAAATGTCATGTGATAATTTTTATTGATCTTTTTAATAATAAATTTTTTCATGAAAAATAAAAAATTAAACTGTAGTATTTTAAAAATAGAATGAACCAAAAATTATACTATTTATAAATATAAATCGAAAATATGTCAGAAACTAGTAATAGTCGCCATATTGTTATTCTTGGAGGTGGTGTTATAGGCTGTTCTATAGCATATCATATAACTTTACTCAACAGAGATCCTAACTTAAAAGTGACAGTTATTGAACAAACTGCTATTGGCTGTGCAGCTTCTGGTAAAGCAGGGTAAAAGTTCTTTTATATTTATTATCAAAATTATTAATATTGTATTAATATTTTTATATTTTAAAAAAAAAAGCTATATATATTACATAATTATAACTTTATTAATTTTATACTTATGATTGTCATCATCTTAATAATATAATCATCACCATCATCATTATATATGAAAAAAAAGAGGATTTTTAACCTATGATTGGTGTGATAAAGGACCCCTTGAAGATTTAGCCAGGAAAAGTTTCAAGTTACATTCAGAATTAGCTAAAACTTTAAATGGGAAAAAAAGATATGATTATCGTTTAGTTGAAACATTATCAGTTTCAGCATCAACAAAAGCAGGCAGTGTAAAACAGCCACCAACTAATTGGTTGAAAACTGGAGTGATCACCAAGTATAAGCATATTGGCACTAAGCAGACAACAGCTCAATTACATCCATATAAATTTACAATGACATTGATGGAAGAGGCAGAGTCTAGAGGAGCAAAAGTTATAATTGGGCGAGTTGATGGAATAGAATTTGATAAGGCAAAAGCCTCAGGTGTAAAAATTTCAACAACAAATGAAATCATAGCAGCTGACACTGTTGTTGTTGCTATGGGACCATGGAGTGGAGAAGTACTTTCATGGCTTGTGAAAAAAGGAAATAGAGCTTTTCAATTACCAGATGTATCAGGACAAAGGGCACATAGTATTGTTTTAAAACCATCTGTTCCTATATCAGCACATGTATGTTTTGTTTCACTTAATTTAGGACATAGATTTGCAGAACCAGAAATTTATCCAAGACCAGATGGGGAAGTTTATATTTCAGGAGAATGTGATGAATCAACGCTTCCAGAAAGTGCAGATGGATACATACCAAATCCAGTAGCTATCAGAAATCTTAAAAATAATGTAAACACAGTTTCTCCAGATGTCTTAGGATGTGCACCAGTTATAAAAGAACAATGTTGTTATATGCCAATAACAGATGATGATAAGCCATTAATAGGGAAAATACCATGGTTAGATGGTGTATATATTGCGACAGGACATTCAGTATGGGGAATTTTAAATTCATCTGGTACAGGTAAAGTTATTGCAGAAATGATTTTAGAAGGTCAAGCAAAATTTGCTGATGTTAGAGCATTGGCTCCAATGAGACCAAAAAAATAATGTTTTTACTATTATTATATTTATCATAATTTTTACTAGAATATATAAGATCTTTAATTATAAATAACTTTTAATAAATTGCAAAAAATTGATTGATCAATTATGGTACAAAAAATGGGGGTTTTTAACTTATTTAGGAAAAAATCTTTAATGATTTCTTAAATAATGATGGTAATAATAATAAGTAATCACCTAACGGATTTATTTGGAAAAAATTAAAAATCGATCAAAAAAAAAATTTATTCACGAGAAAAGTCAATTATAATAATATATACTCATATTGATACATACATAGATACATATATTGTTATTATTATGTTATATGATTATTTATTCATCATTCATAATTTATTCATGATTTGATCCTTGGATATTATCTTTAAAAATAGTACTGAAATAGATATATATATATTAAATATAATAATAATTTTTTTCTCAATAATCTTGAAGCATTAAAAGGTACATTAAGTTCATTGATATTCGGCGAAATTAATTTACTTGGTTTACTTTAAATCTTTTATGGTTTGAAAACTCTTAATTTTATTTATCTTTTCCATTTACAGTAGTACTAATATTATTCTGCCTGCCTTCAGTTTCGGTGAACATTTATTTAAACGTAAATAACCTATCCGGATTACGACATACTACATTGCAGAGAGTTTAAAACAAAATACCTATTGTTAAATTTATTATGCAAAGTAAAGTGAATTAGTTGAATTTCAGGTGTAAAGGTTAACATTTTAATTGTCGATCCTTTTATAATGACATTCCCAAATAACATTTATAAGTTAGAGATGCAACTAGAACAAAAAAGAATTTATTCTTATTTCGGTTTCTGAAACTTATTGATAAAGAATAGAGAAATAGAATACATCGCCTTATTTTAAAATAAATATTTTCAATAATTGTAATAAATTAAGTGACTAAAGATCAATATTTCTCAAATATCCAAATTCCAAGTTACATTCTCTATGTGCTACAAAATTCTGACAAAGCGCTTTCACACGTTGGTTGTAGACCTTTAGTCACGATATCATTTATATACCAGGCTAAAAATCCACAAATAACCCCAGATATACCTTCAGTTTCGATAACTATTGGAAATGTTGCCCTAATGCAAGCCAAGAACATCTGAATCATTGATCCACCTCCCACCACACCTTTAAGAAATGCTTCACAAGCAGTTAGATAAGCCGAGCGTGCTATTTCATTATTGCATAGAGTGCATTTTATATCATTTTTACAGGAATAAATACAATGTCCACCAAAGCATTTTCCATCTGGACAATCGGCCGGACCGTTACAGGTACATAACCAATGCGGAGATATATGATCGCACTTCTGGCCCGGTGCACAAAAATTATAGTCATCATGGCACGCATAAATGCAAGATCCTATCGTTGGTTGAACGCTTGAGCATACGAGTCCGTATCCCACTAAAGCACAATCACTATCTTGTTCGCATGAGCAAGTTACGAGTGTGAAGTGAAGCATAAAGATAAGGATGATAGAATTTAAGAAATTCTGAGTATGCATTTTGGAAATATTTTATTGAACTCTTGTTTCTTTCAAGATAATTTTTGTACGTAACTATATACGAATTTCAAGATGATTTTTATATGTAGTTATATATGAATTCCTTTTAAAATCAGGCGTTACTTTCGGAAGAAACCGTACATAATTAATGGGTTATTGGATAATTGAATTAAGAATCGGATGATTAAATCAGGTGTTACTTTCGAACGAATGTAAATTATCGGATAATCGAATGATTAATATGGCCTGATGTAGACAACCATTTCACCACGTCGTCATCATGCATATACACAGTCAGTCTCGATAAGTCGGTTTTGGCTTAAGTCGGCCAAAATCTTTTCTATGTTCTTTTCACTATTTAAAAATTCTCGATAAGTCGGTCAATCTATGTAAATTCTTGATAAGCTGTGTCTTAGTTGAATGCATCTCGATAAGTCGGTCTCACGTGATAGTTGTATAACGTAACACATATTCCTTCAATTTTAACTGGCCGATCACAGCTCGTACAATAATTAGTAAAAGATCTTTACTTATTTAGAATCGTATGATTTAATATAAACGGTCATTAGATCATATGATTAAAGCAGTAAACATGTCATTAGAAGCGTTTTGAATTGAATGTATTTAATGCAACTAATTGGACTGCGGAGGCATGGAATAACGTAACTGATGATGTAATCTATCGATGCTGGCAAAGGACTGGCATTATACCAGAAGAATATAGAACAGAAGGCATGCTGATTGAAACCGAAGAAGATAATGAAACAGCGGTACAATTTCTTCTGGTTACGATTACTAAACCGGCATACATTATGTCGCATGTGGCTTGATATATAAAATACGCCACCTTGGTGCGTGTCGTAAAAAGCAAAATACACGTCACTCGAGCGTGTCCTAAAATGCAAAACGCACGTCATACTAGCACATGTCTCAGCGATTCTCAACTGACGATACAAATGTAACCTATATAGTACCGATGTGTATACTATAAACATCTCATCTCGGTGTTGTAAAAAGCAAAATACACGTCACTCGAGTGTGTCGAAAAAAGCAAAACGCACGTCATACCTGAGTATATTATAGTATAAATTAAGTAGTTTATAGTTTCCAGGAAACTATAAACTACTGGTGTCTTTGAAAATATACAACAGGTCAATAACATCAACTGCTACATCTTAAAAACAATGGCTATTATTGCTCAAGCACTATATAGAAAGTAAATATTTTTTTAATTTCTTCACTAGATTATTTTAAAGTCTTTGGAAAAAAAATAGGTTAATGAATGAACATAAGGATCTTTTGTTTATTCATTTTAAAAAGAATTTATTAATACAGATTTCTAACATTTTATTAATGTTTGTTTTCTTCTATGGTTGAACGGTGGATAATTGTTACACGACCATCAAAAATATTCTAAGAGGCGGGCTTTTCAATAGAAACAGATCATGTTGTGAAAATGATGTTTTGAGAAGATGAAAAAAAGATCCGCATTTTAACAA